CTTTGGTAATCAGAGCAAATCAGGAGACTGAATCTTATTGAAACTAAATCAGCCTCAACACATTTCAATTCCTGATTGATTTAAGATCAGTCCCAAGTTCATCTGCCTAGAAGGGGAAGGGATGGATCCCCAAAAAGAATTAGAGAAGAAAAAGTCATTTGGAACCTATATAATTTTATGCCCAATTATCGATATTAAATTAAAAATTTCTAGACATATTATATGTTAAAGCCATATTACTGAAAACCACAAGAAAAGCATTCAATAGAAATAGAACTATAGGTGTCATAGGTGGTGTGTAAACAGAAAAGAGCTTTCAAATAATTATGATTACTATGGTCAAGAAAGTCAATTTTTAAATGAAAAATTTCTCAGAGAATTATGATCTTGAAAAAGAATCAAATAGAAAATTTAAAATACAGGGGCCTCTCTGGGGGTGCAAGGGGTTAAGTCTCAGCACTATGAAGCTAGCCAGAGCTACTGCAGCACTAGTTCGATTCCCGGCCAGGGAGATAACCCACATGGCATGGCAGACCTCTCCTGTCTCACCCGCTGCTTCCCTCAGCAGTGTATTTCAGTCAGTCTATCTGTTCTGCCCCCCATTCTGTCTCTGGTGAATCCTCTTACCCCCTGCACCTCTGGTCTACACCCCAACTCTTGTATGCATAAATAAATAAATCTTAAAAAAATTAAAATATAACACCTGCAATTATAAGTTTAATTGAGATTAGACAATGAAGACAGAATTAATGAACTGAAAGCATAGCCAACAGAAAATGTCCAAATTAAAGCACAAAGTGAATAGAAATGGAAAACAGAAAAAAAGCACAATGGAGATCTGAGATACAGTGAAAAGATAAAGCATACCTACATGTGCTCTAGGACAGAACTGAATGAGGGAGAAGTAATATTTGAAGATATAATGCTCAAGAAAGCATTAATTATTCAATCAATTCTTAAATTAAAGACCTTACATTGGCATTGGATCTTAAGCCTTTAACAATGCACATTGTTCTTTGTGACTTTATCTTATTTTTTATTACAAAATTGCCTTATGGCCAATTAGCTTTGCAGCAAAAAATACTTTCAACAAAGAATTTACAGTGAATGTACTGGACATGTTCTAGTAGGAAATGGGTTTACCTCATTTGTCTGGAAATCTCTCTGTGGAATAATAAGAGTGCAAATACTGGGCAGCCGAAAAGAAAGGAAGATGCTGACTATAAACTGGAACCTCCCAAGAAGAGAAAATCACAGACACCACAATTGATTGTATTTGAGAATGAAGACAGAGGGTCACAAGAACCAAAGCAAAGCAGCTGCACCAAGGTCAAAAAGTAATGCAAAGAACTGTGCATAAAATCCAGCTTTATCAGTAGCACTAATGTTTTGGTTTCCATGTACTGGACTCAAGTATCATAATTATTGGGTGATTTAGGACTTAAAAAGGGAATTTTATTTACTGGTCCACATATCACCAACAGATGCTGCAGGTATTTGTCTGACATTACTTTTTCCAAGCTTCGCTATTTAACTAACTCTCTCTTAAGTGAACAATTTATTAGGCACTGACCCTGCTAGGTATTGCACTAAAAAATACACAAACCATCTCAGTGAATTTCCATCATAATCTTGATTACAGAAAGATAAAATGAGGTTCTAATTGACAAAACAAGTGATCCAAGATAACAAAGCTAGTAAATGATGGACCCTAATATCTTTTTTTTAGATATATTAATGTTTGTTTTTACTAGATAGATAAATATCATCAAACATTCTTTGCTATTCAAACTACTTAATTTAACTATCATTTTCTTTTCTGGTTCATTATATTTTTATTTATTTTAATATACAGGAAAGAACTTTAATTTTTGATTTTCACATACTTGGATATGGAGTTGACTGGACTGATGGAAAATTTTATGGTTGTCCCCCCATGTGCTTCCCACATAATCAAGGCTTGACATCACTCTGTCCATTTTCCAGGTGTGGAAACTGAACTCACAGTCACAGCAGATATGTTTTAAAGCAGGCAGCCAATACCAACACTTTCAATTATACTATTGTTGAAGAATAATTTGTGTGCCAAATCTGATTAGTTTATGTATTAGTATTCAATAGCTGATGTAACAAGCTACCACAAATTTAGTGACTTAAAACATGTATTTATTATCTTTCATTTCTGTAGTTCCAAAGTTTAAAATAGGGTTTACTTGGTTAAAATCATATCAGTAGGGCTACATTCTTTTCTGGATACTCTGGGACAATCATTTTCTTGCCCTTACCAGCTTGTAGAGGCTGCCAACATTCCTTGGCTTGTAGCTCCTTTCTCCAAAACCAATAATGACAAGTTGAGTCTTTATCACATCACATCACATCACTCTGACACTAGCAGTCCTGCCTCTCTCATCCGCACTTACAATCTCTTGGGATTACATTGGACACACCCAGATAAACTAAGATGATTTCTTTATTTTAAAGATGGTGGATTAGAAATCTTAACTACATATCCAACTTTAATTACCTTTTGCAATTTAACCTAAAATGCTCAAAAGGCTTTGGAAGTTAGGACATAGGCATTTTGGGGGCCCCATTATTCTGCCTGCCATTTATATCCCATCCTACCATAGATGCAGGCTAAAAGAAAGAGAGTTTCAAAATCATGAGTATTGACCAACCCATCTGTATGTTTCCAGCAGTAACTAGAAGGAGCCATATAAGGTGAGTATGCCACTGATCTCCTTTCTTCCTATAACTAGAGCTACTTGCCCCTCATTGGCAAGATGAGTCCACTGGATCTTTCTCACTGAATTTTAGAACATTAAGAAATGTTGTTATATCAACAAATCATACCTAGAGGACCATTTTCTGGGATACTTGACAGCAAACTGATACAATGTGCTGAAAAGCACTGGTGGGGATTCAGGGGAACAAAATTCTGGTTCTCACTCACTCTCTATCATAAAGGAGCTCTTGGGTCTGGGGTAACTTTCAAATCAAGTATAGGCTCTACCTTCCTTGTGAAATGTGGTGAAGCTACATGATGAAGTATTGTTAGAAGAAAAACAAAAGTTAATATAATCAAAACTACCTAAAAAATGCTGGAGGAAGATGCAATACTGGAGCCTGACACATCACACACCATCTCCAGGTGCACCATTGCCAATTTCTCCCCCAGTGTTGGAAAGAATTGCTGATGACACAGTTGAACACCAGATGAAGTACTTGGCTTGCATGCAGGAGCCATGTTGTAACAAAAAATGTACCTCTCTTAACACTGCAACCACTTTCAGTGAGGCGAGATGCTTCCCAAGCAGCACATGGTCCTGAATGAGGCAGCAGTGCCAGGTGAATATCTCCCATTTCCCCAACTGCTGTTTCTGCACCTGTTAAGGGAAGAAAATGATACTTCCTCATCCCTACCTATTCAAAAGCATTTTGAGGATAAGTCTGGATACAAGTTACAGAAAACTTTTAGTTTAAGTCAGTGAAATAAAATCTCCAAAATCAATTTGTCATGTCAACACTAAGTTTTACATGGTCAACATTTAAAATAATGTGGTATCAATACATATGACAGACTCCTAGGGCTGCAAGTATTTTTGGAGGAATCAAGTCTGATTTTCCACCCAAAGTAGAGTTTCATCTACCATAAAGGAATTAGCAGTCCAGAGACAGGGAGTTCACTTTTCAACAAGGAGACTTATTCAGTGTTGCACTGAAGTTATTTTTTCCTGCAGTGACTTGATACCTGCTTTCTTAGAACTTTCACTTGCTGATTTCAGAAATGTATTTGCAACCACATAAAATAAGCATTCTTATGTGTGATAATATTTCAGATATTTGAGAACAGCAATCATGTCTCCTCATAAGACATGGATACCAAAACCCTTATTCACCGTCCCACGACCATTCATCAAAGCCCTCACACCTTTCCTCTGCATATATAAAATTTATCAGTGTTTCAATTGCAAATTGGACAGGAGAGCTGGGTTTGCCTATATATGAGGTTCCTCTAATAGAAAAACTCATTTCTGTCTTGAAATAACAGCTGGAATTTCTGTCTTGGAATAACAAAGTAAATATATCACAGAGCTATCTGTTGAAGAACACTTTCTTATATGAAAATTTCAGATGTGTACTTTTTTACTGACACAGAACATGGGCAAAACCTAAAGAAAGAGAAGAGAAAAAGATTTCATCACTTTAATTTCACAGAAACTTCCATTTCTAAATTTCCCCATCAATTAAATATTTGAAATGATGGTAGGGCTTGTGTTTGGGATCTTTCATCTATAACATTAATTTTTCAAGGATTCAGACTGAACAGAATAAAGATTCTGGGATTTATTGATGTTTTCTAATGCTCAAAGATTATTCAGAATGTCATGGTTATTTCTCAAGAACACTATGACCTGGTGAACCCATTAACTTTAACACGAGTAAACAAAAGAACTGACCGAGGTCATGTCTCTAATATCTTTAGCAGTTCCGGAACAAAAAGAGTCCCCTAAATTTTCCTAATTCCTGCCTCTTCCAAGATTGATGGCCAAATAATTCCTCCAAAGACATACTTTTCACTGTTATGTATCCTGAACATTCTCTGGGACTTGTAAATGCCAGGGATGTATAGTGTATAGAGGCTGGAGTAAATATGTGGAATCAGTTCAGGGTTATTGTTAAGAATTGACAAATTAAAAAATATGGTGTAGGAAAGCTACTCATAATTGTAGAGAATTGGGGGAAATGAACTTTTAATGAGGACTGCTTAGTGGAAACATATGTGAAAAGAACCTTTAGATAAAGGCATTATGATAAATGAAAATGATCGAGTTAAGTGCTCAAGAAAGTTACGTTCTCTTATTCTTCTTGAATAAGCTGTTCATTGTACATATAATCACCATAATGTTGTTAATGAATTAGCATGTTTGCTCTCTGTTAATGATACAGCATGTTTGGCTCCCCAGAAACATATCAACTAGACAACATACCAACACATTAGTCAGAAATATAGCTTTATTGTTATAATATTTCATAATCTAAAAACTTTTTTAAATTCTGGGAACAGAATATTACAACTTCCACACAACTGACCCTGCAGAATACTGGAAAACAGTGTCTAAGCTATCTGAACTTTGTAGTTAAGAATCTGTAAGCTAGTTTGGGTAAAACGGAAAAAAAAACAGTTTAAATGAAGATTTTTGTCTTACAAAGCAAATAAAATTAGATCCATTCTTCAGTTTAACCTTGAACATGTTTTCCCAGAAACTTTGGCGATTTCTTCCAAAAAAACAACTCTAAGGTTGACTGCCCTGTAAAAAAAGGAAATATTTAAAAATAATACCCAAATGGGATACAGCACATGGCTCGAGCATGGCAGTAAGTGGGATAGTCCTTGGAGTGAGCCAGCTCCCATGTTCTGAGGGCAAATTTATGTCTTTAAGGAAGTGCAACATACATAATGCATTTCCTTAGATGAGGGTCAGAATTTAGTTAGAACTTTAAAATAATTGTTTATTATAATGAATCTTAAAATGATTTCTTATGTAATGTATACAGGGTAGATGTGACATTATGGTGCTTTCTGAAGATCACTGGGTATCACTGTCAAAGAGAGATGTAATGCTCCCTAGGCATATTAAGTGAAAATTGGAAATGTAGGTTACAATAAATAAAATGACAAAAAAAAAAAACAACTAAAACAACCCTGGCTATACCATATTTAAAAACAAGTTGTCCTCATTGTCCATACATATTACAGGGCAAGAGCATGCAATACTACTAACAAGGCAAGTTTTTAGTTTGTAAAAGGTTAAAGTGCAATCATGGTATAAACAGCAATAATAGCTTTGGAGGAGGTTTAGTCTCCAAATAAATAATAATGATAATATTCCAATTCTTACAATGTTAGCCTAAACAGTGATATTCACAGCAATGTTTTTTTTCACACTTGATAGTTGCCTATCCACCACATGAATGGCCCACACCCATGAGCCAAAAGTCAAGTGGAGATTCAAAAATCAACATTTTCACTAGGATAGATTCAAAATGTTTGTATCATAGTAAGTTACACTTTTTAATTTACTGGCATTTTAAGTAATCACTTTATTACCTACTTTTAATGTACTGCTAATCTTATGCTTATTGCAATAATATTCATAATTCTACTAAGTTTAAGTAGGTTACAGTTTTAATTTTTAAAATGAGAATTCAATTTACATAAACTAATTTACATGAACATATTTAAAAACCACCCACCACAAACACACACCTTTTCTATGAGTATTTAAAAATAAATTATTAATATACTTGACATATATTTTGTGTTTTATATATGTGCATATATGCATATACTTATGGACATCATTATTCTGGCTTCCAGAAGGATGTCAGCACATTTCAACTCTTCAGGAGACCAGATGAGTTTGCTAAATTAAAAGTCACATGGAAATACATTTTTGAAGAAAATCATAAAGCAGGAAGTTCTTAACTGATGGCTCCTTGTGGAACCAAAGGTCATTTTAAAGAAGGAGGAGAGGACAGGCTCAGATTCTGGATCTATATGCACTGTTTATTTCAGAAACTACTTTAGAAAGCAGTGCACAATGAACGCTTCAGATACTTGATTGAAGGTAAGAGCATGTATTTTAATCCTAAGTGGACACCAAAGCAGCAGGAGGTGGAAGTTAGGCCAAGAAGGAGAAAGTCACACCTACAGCGAGCAGAGGCTGCTGACACTAGAGGGAGGGAGTCTTGAGGAAGGGCTGGTCTGCAGGGATCCAAGGTGGCTCAATGTGCAGAATGTGCCTGCCCCTGGCATCCCACCATTTACCCTGAACTGATAATGGTGCCCATTAAAAGGGACTCACTGTCCTCTCCAGTTGCAGCAATTGAAACAGCTGTTAAGATAAAGGTTGGCAGCACTGTCTTTGGTGCAAAATACTCAGTCAAAGAAGAGAGCAGAGGTGCAGCAAAATCAAACAAACATGCTTCCAGGGAAACAAAAACCTAAATCAAACTTGACTGGAAAACAGACCAGGGAAATGAGAACCAGAGTCTAATTGAATGAGTCCCTGATGCAACCCAAACACTGAAATCTTAATTAACCAGAATGCTCCAAGAAGCAGAAATTCTTATTCTGGAGGCTTTTGAAAAAAAAAAAAAAAATCAACATGTCATTGCTATTAACAAAATGTTACATTCCTATTGCCACTTCTTGCCTCATAATTTAGAGAGCAGTGCATACAGAGGAATTTTTTCACATGCCTGGTATCTAGTGTGGCCTGGGGCCTGAGAATGAATGACCACTGCACAGAACATCAGCTGTGTAAACTCCTAGAGACTTGGCTGATTATTTTAGAAGCTGATGCTTCATTTTACTAAAACTTTGGGATAGAGTGCTATTATTTTTTTTTCTTTTTGTGATTTGCCTCTTATATCTAAAAGGAGCCTAAAATAGGCTCCTTATGATTCTGATTTGCTGAGATTCCTGTTTATTAAATGCTGGTTAACCCAGGGGTTTGTATGGATAGGAAATGTATGTGTTTCATGCCCTTTGCTCTCCCAGTGTGTCTCACTGTCGATGTGTCAGCCCCTCGGCAACATTCCCAAAGCCCAGAGCCACCCCCTCTTTCAGATGATGTGCACAATTGCTGTTGGCTTTTTTTTGGCCATTTTGGGCCTGATGTTGCCTTTTCGACTAAACCCCAAAGGCTCCCCTTTTTTCGGTGCTCTGCAGAGTTCTCTGGGCGACTCGGCCTGTTCGTGAATGGACTTTGCAGGCTGCATGCTGGCTCTGTCATCCTTGGCTTTTTTCAGGTGGCTTCTTCCCTTTGGATGAAAATGGGTCTTCAGATCTGGGTGGCTATACCCAGAATGCAGGTGCCCTCGGCTTCTACAGTTATGTGGAAGGAAGAAGGTGAACAGAAAGAAAGATTTCTTTAATGCCTTAAGAGACTAAAAACCACCAAGGCACAATCACTCCTGCATGCTAGAGTGGTGATAATACTGCCAATGGAACAAATCATACATATTGGTGATTTTTCCAAAATTATGAAATGATCTCATGATACTAAATACCCAAGGATATATTACTAGTCCCACTTACTAGTGATAAAACAGGCTCAGAAAATTTAAATGACTCTCCAAGATAATACAGATAATTGGTCTACAAAAATGAGATCAGAACCCACATCTCTAACTCAGTGACAAGTCTGTACTCACCAAATCTGTATGTAGCTGTTGTGAAGTTTATGATTCACAGGATAAGTTTATATGAATACAATGTAATATGCCTACTACATTAATAGTACTATAGAGCTATTATGACTACACTATATCTCAATAAGAAAAAATTATACTAAATAAGACTTTAGATAGACCCATAGTGTTACATATGCCATTACTAATAGACCATTAGCATAGTTACAAGTTCTATCCACATTTTACAAAGCTAGGTACGTAAGCAAGCAAATTTTCACCTGAGACTGTCAGGTCCATTTATATTCTAGGTATCACATGCAACAGGAAAATATATTCTACAAACATCAAAAGGCCCAAATATAAAAAGAAATACATACAGGCATTTGGGTTTCCTATTTGAGGAGATATCTGTAAGCTGGAGGAAAACAGTAAGAAAAATTACTTCACTTGAAGATTGAATTTTAAAAATTATTCCTGCTTATATTTTTAATAAACTGCATTCACACTAAGAAGTCAGTGACTGTTGTTGGTAGCACTGGCTGTGTCACAATTCAACACGATGAACAAGAACATCTCGGTCCAATCTCTGCTTATTCATGGAGCCTTTGTGGCTTCCTGTTCTCAGATTCCCAAAAAGCCAGTATCAGCAAATCTAAAAAAATGTCAAATAGTAAAAGAATCCCCCAATACAATAACATTTGAAAAAGCATGTTTTTGAAAACTAGAATGATGCACCCCTATTTTTTTTATGGGTTCAGGGTTATTGCAGCTAATTTACTATGGCTATGGCTGGGCACAATGTCTCAACCAACAGGAAAACTGGCATGAGATGTTTATTGCCTAAAAGACATTGTTTCTAAAATGAGATCATATGCGGACAAACTCCACAACTGTCCTTAAGGTCATCTGTCATTAAGATTATTCTCCACTTTTAATAAAGTATCTGCATGTACTTTTGTGGCTGGGCTCAGAATATCACTTGCAGAATAAGTTGGTAAATTATTATTTTTGTGATCCAGATGTCACCATCATTTTACAGGCATTCCCAGTCTGCAGTTCTTGACCTCTCTCATGTGGCCTTCACTCAAGGGACTGTGACATCAGTGACTGAAGGAAGGAGATAAAATCAAAGAAAATGTGGAGGAAGACCCATCTCGGTACATTGCACAGCGTGGCCAGACATGTGTCCTTCTTAGATTGTGAGATTATTCAAGTTCTCTCAAAAGACAATCCCAGCACCACAGGGTCACTCCCCCTGGTTGTTCGGTCTGAGGCTGGAGCTTTAGTCAGAAGCAAAAACCAGATGTTTTCTAAAACAGACTTCGGGGAGGATCATGTCCCCAAGATGGCAAATGGGATTCTAGCCGCTGCAGACTGATGCAATCAAAAGTCAGCCTGGTGTTGACCCTGTTGATGCTGCCTGGGTTTGGCATGAGATTAGTAAATGTAAACATAAAAAGAAACCTTTCCTTGCATGAGAGTCATGAGCTTATACAATAAACAAAGAAGGTGAGCCAGATGGCTCAGGCAAACCCTCAGGCTAGAAATTGCTGGGAACCCAAAACCATTATCATTTCCCCTTTCCTACCCCACTACTACCTATAAGGGTTTCTCATCTGGATTTGTTTTGGTTTTTAATAAGTTTTCCCTTTTTTGAGTTAATATTGGTTTACAGCATTGTGTATGTTTTAGGAACATATCGCTTCAAGTGCATCCTGCCATCTCAGACCCATCAGCAACACACCAATAACCCCACATTTGCCCCCTCGTTTAGCTCCCTAAATTCCTCTGGTGACCTCAGTTCTGTAGTCATATAACAAGGGCTTGTTGGGTCTGTTTCTTTTTTTAAATTTTTTTTTAATAGAGGCATGTTTTATTTATTTATTTGTTTGTTTGTTTTGTTTATACATGCACTGGGTACAGTCAGAAGCGCGGGAGGGTGAGAGAATTCACCAGAGCCAGAGCCGGGAGCAGAACAGGCAGAAGGACCGAGGTGCACTGCTGAGGGGAGCAGAGGGCGGCAGGAGAGGTCTGCGCCATGTGGGACCCTTCTCCAGTGGCCGGGGAGCAGCCGGGGATCGAACCGGCGCTGCAGAGGCTGCCGGCAGCTTCGCAACCCAGCGCTCAACTGCTGCGCCACCGGGGAGGCCCTGTTTGGGTCTGTTTCTTTGCTTTATTTCTTTATATCCCGCATGAGCGACATCATAGAGTATTTGTCTTTCTCCTTAGAATTCATTTTACTTATCAGCTGGACTCCTTGAATGGACTTAAGTATATGTGTAAACTGGAAAAAACTTTCAGGGTTTTTCTTCTTTTAAATTTCTCCCTTCTTATTACTGAGTCATAACCAAGTTTTTCTCACTTTACTATATGCATCTATGTAAAAATACAGTTTGATGATTTACTGCATATATATACATATCTTTTCAAATTTTATGCAAAATTAAGTAGGTGTATATATACTGCTATATGTTCATTCATTTATTCATTTGTGTGTGTGTGTGTGTGCGTGTGTCCATTCCTGGGGAAGAGGCTAACAATGCTATCAAATATTCAAAGAGGCCACTGACTTCTAAAATATTTTCAAAACTACAAATGTAGCACCTATGATTGTCAATGATGGACTCTATTGGGACTTAGGAAGTGAGAGAATTTAACTGTCTTACAGAAAGGGTGGGTGACAATGAGCCATAACATATCTATAGGTACCATAAATGGTGCTTGTCTATATGTCACACATTGAGTAATATACTGACTATATAACACTGTAATTAGCTATCAAAACAGGTCTATGAGTTAAGTTTTATCTTCCCCATTTTACAGATATGGAACCTAAGGCAGAAAGGTTAAGTAGAGTTAGGGTTGGTCTTCAAGGCCAAGTGAGATCATTGTAAGACTAAGCAAGCCTTTACTCTGCACCCTCCTCCTACAATGAGAGAGAGAGAGAGAGAGAGAGAGAGAGAGAGAGAGAGAGAGAGAGAGAAAACACTTATGTGTACACAAAACTTTAAGTGGAATTTATAGCCGGAGCAGGATTTCTCCGGTGATCCTACAGATGAAGGCATGGTGTGGACAGGGGATTGTTACCATAGGCACAGAGAACTTCATATGCTCTCCTCTCTGTGAACACCAGAGGCCACTGTTCCCTCTGACCACTGGGCCTTTGGATACACTCTTCCTACTTAACCCATCTATTTCCATGTTTTCCTAGTCTAACTACTTTGTCATCTTTTTGTTTAGAAAGAGATCAGGATATGAAATGGAGCTCAAGTGATCTTTGATCAAGGTTCCACATTAGAAAAATATAAATAACTTTGAACTAAAAGTCAATGTAAGTACTTCTAAAACACAAACACGGTGTCTCAGGCTATTATGAGCTTGAGGAAACTGGACAACCAGCTCTCCTCCAACTTCCCCTTTGTGTAAAAAGCAGTACTGTATACTTGATTTTTCAGGTCAAAGCCTTAGATTATTCCTGATTCCTCTCTTCCCTTACCGTCTAATCCTTCAGCAAAGTCAACTGGTCTTGTCAATTCTACTCCCAGAATATATCCTCTCTCCATTATTTCTCAGTATGTCTACTCTCTGCAAGCTGTGATCCCCTCTCACCTGCCAACTCTCATTCATGTATCTTTGCAGAGATATAATAACAGCCTGTGTGATTCTGCTAAAACATTGGTCACCTCCTGCTTAAAACCCTCAATGGCTTCCCTGGAATAGATCCAAACTCCTCATGTGACCTCGAAGGTCCAGCAAGAACTGGATCCTTCCCAACATTCTGACTCTGTCTCTTACCACTCAAATGCACCAAGTTTGTTCCCTTAAGTCTCTTGCATTTCCTATTCCTTTGCCTAAAATTTTCCACTTCCAATTTTTCAGAGCAGCATCCTTGTTATTCAGGTCACAATGCACATGCAGTCTCCTCAAGTCAGGCTTTTCTTGACTCTCAAGGTGAAGGTAGACGATTGATCATGGCATCTTCCTTTTTTTCTTCATAATAGTTAGCACTACATGAAATTATATTTATTATTTGTTTATTATTTCCCTCCCCGCAATGAGAGCAGAGACTTCATCTATATAATTCATAGCAGTTTCCTCAGCACCCAGTAGGAACTGTGTCCCCAATAAATATGTGTTAAATGAATTACTGTTAGTACTAATTTCTCAACCTGCAGGAAATAAATTCAGCACTTAAAATAAGATTATCCAAGCTGTTTCATGACCTTCCATTTGAGCTGTTCTGTGAGTGATTTTGGCAGATGGGATATTAGGTCACTTGGTGCCTAATTCAACAGCATTTTTCAGAGCATAAAGACAAAATATCTTAGTAAGCACATTATATTTTAGGACTCAGTCAGGTGAAAAAGAACATAAATGCTCAAGGGAATTAAGGAAAAAATATAAATGCCAAAACATTATTTCTGAAAAGGCATTGAGAGGGCGAAAGGAATTTTTTTCCAGAGCATAAAGGAATCTAAAAGCTAGAAAACTCCTTAGAAATAATTTAAACATCAATCTGGAAATTTCTCTGGTATCTGGAGGTGGTAACGAGAAAGAGAGGGAAGAAGGGAGAGGGAGATAACGAGAGGAGAGAAAGGGGATGAAGAGGCCTAGCACTTCTGTAAGAACCATCTCATTGGAGATGAGAAAACCTAAGCCAAGCTGGGGACTGCATTCCTGAGAGTTCTGGAGGAGGGAGGTGGTATCGACATGGAAAGAATGTTCTGATTTTTCCTTGGATGCAGTGGAGCAAGGAGGAGAGGGGTGCTGAGACTCCAGAAACCTCAGCTTCTCAGAGTTCCTCTCCTTCTTTAAGCTGGGCTAAGTAGGATAATAGTGATCCCACTTAAGCCCTCTCAGCCTAAAAGCATCCGAGTTCTCCTGTGTCACCAAAACCACAGATATCCTGGAGGCCCACACTGAGCACTTTTATTATATCAAAGAAATGATTGTAGTTGCATAGGTGAATATATACATAAACATACATTACATTGCCTAATGTATTATTGCTATATTAACTATATAATATTATACTATACTATATTACAGTATAATGCACTATACTATATTATACTATACTATATTATAATTTATGGTGGGAAAAAAACAAAGCAAAAGGAGAAATGTCCTCAGGGTCTGTAGACCTTAATGTGGTATATCATTGTTCCAAAATAGTGTTTAGGAGACTATAGATGAAAATAAGAACCAGATCTGCTCAATCCTTCAAAAATCAAACATATCATCCTTGGTCTCTTTAGGCAATGAATCTCCCTGCAGTATAGTTAAAAAATTCACCTCACTATAACCCAATTAAGCTCTACTCATAGCTTGCATTTCTAAATTCCCTGCCTTATTTTTTAATGGTGAAAAAATTTATATTTAGAATTAGCCCGATAGATTCAGTTTAGATTAGCCCAATTTTTTTTAAGTTTTACAGAACTGTATTTGAATTTGAATTTTTTAAATTTTATATATGATGTTATATATATGCACATACATACATACTGTATACATATATATGTCATATATACATATACATGCATGTTATATACATATATACACACATGTATACATATATAACATCATATATAAAATTAAAAAAATAAAAATTCAAATACAGTTCTGTAAAACTTAAAAAAATTGGGCTAATCTAAATTGAGTCTGTTGGGCTAATTATAAATATAAATTTATATATATGTGTATATTTAGATAATATATATATTATATAAAACACATCATTCTTCCAATTTGGTTGGCACTGTCTGAAGCATTATAGTCAGGAAGCAGTTAGATCTATGCCTTCTTCTCTCCATCAGGTCTGATCAGAGGTTGACCCTGACCATGTCAATGTCATAGAGCTTCTTCACAGCCTGCTTGACCTGATGTTTATTGGCCTTGACATCCACAATAGATACAGTGTTTGGTTTTCTATCTTCCTCATGGCTGACTCGGTGGTCAGGGGGAAGATGATGATGACAAGGTGGTCAAGCTTGCTTCTGCTGGGGGCTCTCTCCTGAAGCTATTTGGGTTGCGTTTGGAGCAGCAGTGTCTTGAACTACTGGAAGGTGGATGAGCTTCTTGTCCTTCAAAGCTCTGCCTTTGACTTTGGCAATTACTTTGATTTGGGAAGGAGCAGGAACTTTCTTTCTTACTTTTGGCACCATGTTTGTGAGAAGTTGCTACAATCTTAACCATAATTTATTTTATTTGAATTACTCTAATCTTCCCTTGTTAGGGAGATCTGAAGAAGGCAGGTAATGTCATGTTTGGGACACAGAGGGCATAAATGTTAGTTTTTCATTAATTTTCAATAGTATCTCCATGCATACATACACATCTGTACATGTATTTATGTATATGTGGGTTTATGTGCACATATTATGCATATATCTATATGCTGTTGATATATGCGCATACACATATAATTTTGTATATTTGCATCTACCTAGAAGAGTTGAAATACTGTGCAACTTTTAATCACTTGACACAGCATGAGAAATAATGAGATGAGAAATAATGACTGGTTATGTCTTTTAAAAGGTGCTCAACTTTCAATCTAGAAAAATAAACTGAGAAGAAGGGAGTACAGAAATATATCAATAGATGAGAGAACTATGGACTTCCTCTCTTCCTCTTTGCTTTTCATTATTATCTCTCTTTAAGATCCTCTTGACTTACAACTTGACTGTAACTATCAAAATATTTAGAGATAAAAATTTTTTAAATCCTCTTGATTTAGAATAGTGTTTCTCTCATGTCCTAGCACTGGGTTACTTACTAGCCTGAATACTGAAAATGTTAGACCTACATTTTAATATTAGAATTTCTACCCACCAAAGTCAGGAGATGACCAAAGAACCTAAAAGGCCCAAAGACCTTAGAGAGCATCGAATCCAATTGCTTCATTTCACCGAATAATTACAGGCCCAGGATGACAAGTTATCTTCCAGTCAGAGGCAGGGTGGGAATACTCTGGAAACCAGGCCTTTTATCTCACTTTGGAACTCTATGCTATAGCACTGTCGTAAGAAAAGGCAAGATGGAAGAAGGTGGCAGAAAGCGTTCAGAAAGTATCCCTCAAGTCAGCATTAGTTATGACTAGACTCAGTTTCCTACAGAGACAGAAAATAATAAATATGCTAAGTAGCTGAAACTTCTTTGTTGATAGTCATTGAAACATCACAAATGTAACACATTTACTTTGTTTCTGACTAAAAGTTCTGGAGTTTGTATTATTGAGGTGCTCTGAGGCTAATCTATGATTACTGTAAGCAATATAAGATTTTTCCATTTCCTTGCTTCATTTCTCCTTTCTTTATAGTTGCCCATCTCTCACCCTTCTGTCTTCCTCCTTTTATCTAGCTGTCTTTCATTTAATTCCATCTTTTATCATTTATATTTTTCTATCTTTTAATTGCAGTTTCCAGAATTCTCACACTAAATTTCTTATCAACCAATAGTCACCCTGATAATCTTTTGTTTAGCATACATGTTTCCCATTTTCCTTTTCCTAATATGTATGTCTCACCCATTCTGGGTGAGTGATAAAAGAATCATATTAAAATCTAAGAAGGAGGCAAGCTTAAATACAATTTTAATAAATAATGGAAGTGTCACAAAGAAAATATTTGGGGATTTCCCAAAATTCTTTTTTTGGCTTTATTGCTTTTACCACCAAGGAAATGGTATAATGGGCTAATATGACACTCAGCTCCCACAGTGTGGCTTCCTGTACCTTCCCCGCAGCCTCCAAAGAGACCAGAGAATCTTGATTAAGTCACATATGCAAGTCTGGACCTTCGTCCACGTCCAGACTTTTCATTTGGACTTTGGAGTTTCTTAAGTCCTTGAAACTACACATAGACTTTTACACAAAAATCTTCTCTATAATATAACAAACAATGGTGAATATTCCTAAGTTTTTATGAAAGTCTACCTAAACGATGTTTAACCTAGACATCAAATCACATTTTCCTCTTAAAGACCAAAAAAAAAAAAAATATGTATGTGGTTGTTTCTTGCTTTGCTGTAAAGGATCCAGGCTTTCACAGGATTCCTTGAAGAGCTCCAAAGCAGATAATAATTTCAATTCTACTTCATACCACGTTTGGGACAGATTATTTGTCTGGATACTTCAAACTCTTATTCTCTAAATATAAAAATGCTTCTAACCCAAGATGGTGTGAGTGAGACGGTAAAGAAGAAGAGAGAATCCAGCCAGGACTTGTCTTCATTCCAGGTGTCTTGGTTTCACCGCTATCACTCCCTTAACAGACACGACTCAGGCCACACTTTGAAAGGATGTCTGCAGAGTCGCTGCAAGTCACTGCCTACCTCCCTTCTCCTCTGTCCTTGACCCAAATCACCATACTCAAAGACCTCACACTTGGTAGCTGTACTGGGGTGACTTACCACGTGCTCACTGATGTCCCGGCAGAGGTCAGCATCCTGCTGGCTCTGATAGTATTCTAACTGCTTCTCTGCCAGCTCCACCCGCTGCAACAGATTCTCAATAAAGTCGTGGAGCCGAGCTTTCCCTTGAACCTCTTTCTCAGCAGCTGCTTCCAGGAAATGGTTGAATGTCACAACTTCACTGCAAGGGGAAAATGTCAGAACACAAATTGAAGAAATGAAAAAGGAATTCACTTATTCAACACATCTTTACTGAGCATCTATTCTGTACTACTCTAGGCAGGATGGCTGCAGCAATGAAAAAAGATAAAATTATATTTATGATTACATTTATAGTTACATTCAGTGGAAGGAATTAATCATCATTGTGTGTGTGTGTGTGTGTGTGTGTGAACTATAAGTGCTAAGGAGAAAACTGAAACTGAGAACAAGTGGACAAAGAGTGACAGAGGAAGAGAAAGAGTGAAGGACATTTTAGAAAACAAAATCAGGAATAACCTTTTGAATGGGGTCACATTTGAACATACCCCTGAAGCAAGCAAAGAAGCAGCCCTGCAGACACCTGGGAATAAACCAGGTCCTCACTGGGAATGTACCTGATGTGGGAAGGATGTGAGGGAGAGCCAGGAAGCTCTACGTGACAAGAGCAGGTGGGTAAAAAGGAGAGTGTAGGGGCCTCAAGGTGACTGAGACAACTCCAGACTTTATTGCCAATGAGATAGAAAAACACTGAACACTTTCGAAAAAAGTTTTGACATGCATTTAAAAAAGTCTGGCTGTTAGGGAGAAAAGACTACTGGGGAGGAAGATATGAAAGCAAGAAGCACCAAAATGAGTAAGATGAGTCAGTCTGTCCAACAGTATATTTTTGAGCTAAGAATAAAACGACCCAAGAAATGCCATCTTGAGAGACCCAATATCCTCTGGAAAGCTATTTTAGCTGCCATAGGAAAAAAAATATGCAAGCAGTCCTTCCTTTAAAAAGTAAAAAGTTGAGACAAATACTTCAAATAATACTCCCTTATGTACATAATTCATCATGATTCAAAAATCCAGGAAAAAATTAATAATTAAATGTTAATTTAATAAGCTATTTCTATCTCATCTTTTTATTTATAATGCAAATTTGGAGATGATACTTTTCTGATTCATAACTGAATAAATTATTTATAAAAATTTAAAACACATTAAAAATACAAAGAAAAACTGTCACCTGAAACCCCATTGTTTTAACGAGGTAGTTTTACATCTTTATATCTGCTCCAGGGCTGAAACCCCATTAAACTGAGATTACTACCATTAAACTTTTGGTAGTTATTCTTAGAAGCATCTCTTTAAAAACACACACACACACACTTTTTCTCAGGCTAAGTACCATGTAATCTGCACCATTCATGGGTGTATATTATCAAAATTCTCTTTGTCCCATTTGCCTCATCAGTAAAAAATCATAAAGATCTTTTCCACCATGCCCTTTATTTGCTCTGTCGTGTGGGGCTAATGAATTCCATAGTTTTACTACCTGTTGGATACAGTATTTCTTTTATGTGTTTTCAAAATCTTTCTCAAACATCAAGGAGCCACACCTTCATTTTTCTGGCCATGTTCAAATGACGCAAAGCCAAGATACTAAAGACTACACATTGTTTCTCCACTCTCACTGTAGACTAATGAATCCTGTTTTTTTTTTTTTAAATCTAACTTCATGCAGTTGATCTAGACAATTAAATTTATACCTTCTCTGCATCTTCTCAACCTCCACCTGATATTTATTTTTCATTAAGCATCATAATTTCTTGGTAGAACCTCAAGGAAATCTAGCTCAGGAAGTACCAGTCTCACAGAAAGCCTTTGCAAAATGCTGGCAGTGGGTTCTGATACCATTATTCTGAATGACTAGTCAGTGAGCCACTTTTATAAATAGTCGTGATTTTCTTCTCTCGAATATATTAGGTCAGTCTTGGCCATACTGAAACTTTTCAATTTTTTTTTAAAGATTTATTTATTTATTTAAGCACTGGGTACAGTCAGAAGCGGGGGAGGGTGAGAGGATTCACCAGAGCCAGAGAGGGAAACAGAACAGGCAGACTGACGAAATACACTGCTGAGGGGAGCAGCGGGCGGCAGGAGAGGTCTGCGCGCCATGTGGGACCCTGGCCAGCGGCCAGGGATCAAACCGGCACTGCAGAGGCTGCGGGCAGCTTTGCAGCACAGCGCTCAACCGCTGCGCCACCAGGGGAGGCCCCATACTGAAACTTTTCTGATACTTTCTACAGAGCCAAGTGTCTCTGCAAAACCTAGGGAATTACATACATATTGATCAAAATAGAAAAGAGACTGGTTCTAACAAAGATTCACTCAAGGAACTACTCATTATACCAGCACCATTTTTCTAGTTTCCCATCCAGAATTAAACATAAACCCCAATCCTGAAATAATTCCAGTATCTTTCAGGAGCTAAGAAATAGTCATGCAAAAGAAATAAGAGCCCTTTTAGAAAAGAGTTTCCTTTCATTATCAAGTTTCAAGTTTATTTCCAGATGTTTCTGTCTGAGCCCTGAATAGAAGATGTGCACTTTCCAAGCTGTTCAGGCCACAGACACAAGGCAGTTTTCAAGCTTTTCCATCACTCTGCTTTGATCTTCCTTCTTACATGAATCACAAAACGCAACCAGCAGCAGACCAGTGGCGTGTCTGTCCTGTGAGAAACCCAGGCCTTTCATGGTTCTTAGCTGCGCATGAGATCCTCTGGATAGAGTATCTTCATGGTCCAAAAGCAGCACTAAAAGTGCAGCCCAGGAAGATGGTTATTGCCTTCTCTTTCCAACTTGAAGATTTCAACTGATTTGGAGTCAAGCCCATTGTAGAGACTGCCTGGGTGAGTTAGGAGAACTGAGTCATGCAGTTATTACAACTCTAAGTTGTACTTAAAGGGAAAACAACCAAAACCCATACCCTCTCCCCAACCAAAAACAAAAAGACAGAAAAAAGAAGCAGTGAACTTTTTCAGTTCATTTTGGATTATAATATTTACTCTATTTATTTACAGAAATATTCCACATTTATCATGGGAAATGTGAACCTTGACCTACTAAAAGATGGATCAAACTGGACTGGGCCTGAATCAGCTTTTTATCTTCTGCTCTAAGCCCATCACTCAATAGAATTCAGAAATATTTGTAATAATGTTTAAAAAGAAGGAAGAAATGAAAACCCGTACCCCGCCTCCCAAAGGTATCTACTGTCAATATTCTGTAATATTTTTTCCAGTCTTTCTTCTCTGTGCATATTTACTATTCTTGGGCTCTCCAGCTGTACAGTTTAGAATAAGGCAGCAGCATTTGACAGCTTAATCCCACAAGATTAACATCACAAAAGCCAGGAAACAAATCTGAGGGCAATATAGTTTATGATTGTGGCTGTATTTTTAAATCACATAATGTTTTGCTACTGGTTCCCTATAAAGCCTTTAAAAATTAATATTGATGCTTTTAGCTGATCATGGAGTGTTATGTCATGTTGTAGAAGAAAAGCATCTTTTTCTAACCTCCTTCATCCAATTATCTTGTGCCCTGAAGCTGAGAAGTTAATACCCTTCCTATTTTTCAAGTAACCTGGCACCAATGCTAACCTAATTTCAGTTTACGGATGTTACATATCAACTTTGAAAAAAGGCAGTAAAAACAAATCTGATGGTTTAATTTAAAAGATAAATTATACAAGACAAGGTTGGATAAGTTTATCACACTGAGATTGCATTTCAGTGTCTGTATTAGATAAAAACAGCAACAAACTCTAGTGACTAATTGTGGACAACTTCAGCTCCACCTTTCACATCCTGTTCAGCCTGGATTAACAATATCCAGAAACACTTATTTCCCCAAGGAATCATGGGGACTTACTGAATGGAAAATAAAGAAGTTTAACCACATTGCATTTGTAACCTCTTTAATAATTATATTTCAATCAGTAAAATATTCATTCAAAGTGTAAGACAGAACAATGGATTTCTGGGTAAGGAAGAAAGAAATGTCCACTGATGTGGTTTCGGATTCCACATTGCAATTAACCTTTAAGAAATTACCAGTTGTCGACTCTTGGCATATTATCAAAGCAGAATAGCCACTATACTCTGAAAAGGCTATTAAAATACCTCTCCCTTTTCCTACTACATATCTTTACAAGACTGGATTTCCTACTTCAGCAAAAACAACAAACTTGCAACAGATTAAATACAGAAGAACAAGGTTCAACTGCGTTGTATTAAACAGACATTAAAAATATTCACAAAAAATCTAATAACACTATTTTCACTAAATTGTTTTTGGGAAAATAACTTTTCATAGAAATGTTATTAAGTTATTATTTTTAAATGAACTGATGTTTTCAATTTCTAGGTTCAAATTTCTAATACAGTAAACACTAATAGATAAAGAGCACACAAAGAAAAGCTTTTTGGGGTCCTCAGCCTTTTCTAAGAGTGAAAGGAGAAGCAAGGCCAAAAATCTTGAGGGTAGCTGTCATCCTGGGCACCTGAGTGGACTGGACCTCAGAGTTCTGGGAAGGGTGGATATTATGGGCTGGAACCTAGTAAGACACTATGATAATTCACACATTTATTTATTCCAATATTTAGTAACTCAACAAACATCCATGGAATGATGAGCCTACCCCTCATGTAGTGGGAGAAACTGATATTAAAAACAACAAATATTAAAATAAATGTGTAATTACAAAGCTGAGCTGCATGTGAGTAAGAACAAGAATAACATGATGCTATCAGAGACTTAGAGGCATGTGTGGCTTTATTTTAGGTTCTCAACCCTGTGACTCAGAATACAGCATGAAAGCTGCAAGGCCAGATATAAGATAAGAGGAGACCTGAGCAAAATTCAAACAGGGTATGGGTGCAACACCAGTGTAGGGAAATTAACTGATTCTAGGCTACTCTCAGCCGCATCTTGACTTCCCTTTTTTTTTTTAAGTTAAATAACATTAAAACCAAGCTTTTAAGGTTGTAGGCATCAATGGAAAATATGATTATTTAAAGCGATATTTGATATTAAAGGGGAAAATACCAGTACAGTATAAGAAACTGGCCTGAAGTTCTTTAATATGAAGAATGATTTGCAGAGCTGGAACTATCAGTATCTTAATATTCATAGGCATGCAGAATCAGAC